CTTAGTAAATCACCCAGCAACAGAACTTGAATTCGATATTGACACTCTTAATTACTGAGAAAAATTTATGTGTCATGTTGTCCAAATTGTGATACACTTTCTAACCCACAGCAAGAACAGGGAGCGAATGTAGCACTGATACGCTCTTCTGATGTCCTAATTGTGTCAGGATGCCCCAAACATAGGCAAAAAGTGCATGGCTATTTAGAAGAAAGCATTAATAAAAGTCATTTAATCATTTCCCATTCGCACACATCCGCTCTTATTCTCAGTCACATACATTTAATCATATCTCATTCACACACATTCACTCATTTCCTCATTCACACACATTCACTCATATTCTCATTCACACATATTCACTCATATTCTCATTCAAACACATTAACTCATTTCTCAGTCGCACACATTCACTCATATTCTCATACACACATATTCACTCATTTCTCAGTCGCACACATTCACTCATATTCTCATTCACACACACACTCACCCATATATCTCTAAGTGAAGTGAAGATGAGGAGGTCGAAGCAACACCAGCAACCATTTTCCGTGTCTACATTTGCTGGCGCAACACGACTCCTTTTAAAGGCAACGCGATCCTGTATAAAATATCCTTGAGTGAAGGAAGGGATGATGGACAAGACGAGGGAGACTCGGGATGCGAGTGGTGAGTGGCATTGAAAGTAAATTACGTGACGCACTCACAGAAATTAAGAGAACTTGTTCAAATAGTTATGTAATTTCCTCCCTTGTGTGAGTCATCCTGACTCATTTTTGTAATTTAAAAGAGTGCAGAAATAATAATTATAATAATAATAATAATAATAAAAATAATAATAATTTTTAGTCATTTAAAAGGTAGAAGTGCTGCGTGCAGAAAGTGTGTCTTAATATGGAAGTTATAGCATTTTTTTAAGAATCTTGATTTTTTTAGCGCGAAGGCAGCGTAGTAATGCGCTTAATTCCAGTGACGGTTCAGAAATGCGCTCCTAGTAGTTCTAGGACGCGAGTAGAATAAGTGTTTAGTGAATAAAAGTGATAATTAAATAGCAAATATACCTTTAAGACGATATTCAGAGTAGAATTTATATACTGATTTGAAGTATATTAAATTACTATGAAGTAATTATAAAAGTAAATAAAAGCGCGTGTAATTGTATTTAATTGTAATAGTATTTGTAATTTTCGAGCCTCGCTGTCAGCGATGCAATCAGTGAATATAAGTATAAACAATTTTGTGATGTCGATGAAAAATTGCTGTCCAAGAAACGCAGCTTCTGGCGATATTAATAATTTTAGTTGTTAACCAGTCAATAAAGTAGAAAGGCGTAGTTCACCTACGTCAACACGTACGTCAAACACGTATGTCACACACGTATGTCACACTCGTACGTCACACACGTATGTCACACATGTATGTCACTCATCTTTAAATAGCTCCATGATAGAAAGAGCGTTTAATCCAACATCTCATTACCCTTTCATGTAAATGAGCATGTAAATGACTTGCTTCTAGCGCTTTTTAGTTCCTTGTCCGACAGTTTTTTTTCCCAAGCTATGCCTAAAAATATATGATCTTAGCCTCGTAATATACTTAATTTTAACCTCTTAATAGCCTCGTAAAATTACGTAAAAATATACGTAATTTCAGCCTCGGCAATAGGCCACGGCCATTGCGCTTCGATGTTTGCATTTAATTTATAGTCAAATGATAAGCGACGAGAATTATTGTTTGTCTAAAGTGCCGCCATATCAAGATATTTGAAATCATTCTTCATTAAATATTTGAATAGCCTTTTTCAACACCTCAGGAGTTTGAGTCAACTTTGTAAAATTCAGCGATGAGGTGGAGAAAATTGCGAGCTGAAAAAGAACTCATTTGCAATTTTTCCCTTAATTATGTCATTTATTCCTATGTCTACTTAGATATGACCAAGAATATTTAGCATCATTTATTCCCATGTCTACTTCAATATGAAAAAGAATATCAAACATCATTTATTCCCATGTCTACTTCAATATGACCAAGAATATCAAACATCATTTATTCCCATGTCTACTTCAATATGAACAAGAATGTCGGGCATCATTTTTTCCCATGTCTACTTCAATATGATCAAGAATATCGAGCATCATTTATTCCCATGTCTACTTCAATATGACCAAGAATATTTAGCATCATTTTTTCCCATGTCTACTTCAATATAATCAAGAATATCGAGCATCATTTTTTCCCATGTCTACTTCAATATGACCAAGAATATTTAGCATCATTTATTCCAATATCTACTTCAATTTGGCTATTACCAACGTTGGCTTTCACGCGGTATAAATTTTTAAATAGTTTATAGCGAGCATTACACGTAAATAAATAATGTCTGTCATAAGAGAACTTCACAATCATTAAGGATAATAAAACAGTAATGGCGATGTAATTAAGTAATGACTTTAATTTTTTCTAAGATAAAGCATACCGTTCAAGCGTGTACATAGAAGCAACGCGGTATATAAGGTATACATGTTTCAGGTTTCCATGGACATGCATGCTAATGAACTTTCTTTAAACCTCTTATTTCATCATTGCAGGAAATAGTTTATATAATGTGTCGCAATACACTGGGCTTAAAACATGAATAACAATTTATAACTTTGCATGGAACATTATTCAAGTGCATCCTCGTGTAAAGTATATGCTCAGTCCCATTCTTGACTTGCACAACATCAGAAGATCGGGTTCATATTGATCGCGAATCAGTTCTGTACGTAAGCACATTACTCAATCACTAGAAATTTAAAAGCGAAGAAAACACCACAAAAATTTAGCATATTTCTTTTGAAAACGTTATGGAAATCATGGATATTTACTCATGAGACGAACCCCGTGAAGCAATGAAGAAGGCAAGTGATCACGGTCTCGATTTTAAACCTATAATAAACCTTTTCTTGGATAAATCTGGCAAATCTTGGTTCCGCAACTGCTGCGTGTGATCCGCTCATTAGGTCACGATAATTAATTTACCATTATTATCATTAAATTAATTTAGGACACCAATAGCAAACACATGGCAATCCCTTTTAACTTTTCCTAAAGTTAAAAAGGTAAAGTTTTTTTCCACGCCTTTTAACCACATGGCAATCCCTTATAACTTTTCCTGAAGGCGTGGCGAAAGCATCAGATATTAATTTCCTGATAGCTTGTCTTCTGAAATAATTTCTAGATTATCCATTAAAATACATCCAATGCTTCGATTTTTAGACAAGCTTTACAAAGCCATTGAATGAGCTCCAGCATGAAACCGTCTTTAATATTTGGCCGTTCCTTTTGCTTAGTTTGTATTAATTTAATTATTTTAATCTCGGCAAATAAAACAACTTAGATCTTACAATATAAGCTTAGATTTCCTATAATAAAAAGCATAACAACAAAAGCTAACGAAAAACTGCAGCGTAAAGAGGACTTATTAAATATAATGCAATGATATGATGAGCCACAACTGCCACTACTTAATTAGACGCGCGGCCACTGGGAGAACTGGTCCTATGCTTTCAAAAAAAGTTAAGAGATCGTAAGTTCATCCGCCAATCATTGACGGCCTTTCAAGCCAAATCCACCAATCATAGACAAGAAAATAGAGCGTAAGTACTTACGTTCACTTAGCGAGTTTTGAAAGTATGGCCCCTGTCAGCAAAAGAACGCCTACAAAAGAATTTAATTAAGAAGTCACGAGCTATGTAGCAATTAGAGGAGCTACTTTTTCCTAATGAGACTCAGAATGATACTCGATCTCCTTAATAAGATTAACATGAACAGACAAATAACTAGAAAATTTCAAGCTACCGACAAACGCTATAAATGTCTTCTTACGCCCGATATTACACATATAAAAATTTTATACCATTCATTGCTTACATTCAGGAAATAACATATAACCGCAATGCTTCTTAAATTCTTAAATTTAGATATCAAATTTTAAGACAAATTCTGGACGTTATTTGCAACAGTGCGTTGCTATACCAAGAGAAAATAGCGGGACTTTGTCCAAATAGCGAAGAACTTTTTAGCTCATTTTCTCATTTATGGAAAAATGCACTATTGTGCTCGCCATGTCCGTCCCTCCGTCTGTCTGTCTGTCTGTCTGTCCGTCTGTCCGTCCGTGACCTCAAGTTTTCGTCGACGAGAAAATGCGCTCTCTGTCACTCACTGCAGTGAGTACCGAGTTATATTTTCTCATTTATGGAAAAAATGCACTATTGTGCTAGCCATGTCCGTCCGTCCGTCTGTCTGTCTGTCTGTCCGTCCGTCCGTCCGTCCGTGACCTCAAGTTTCTGTCGACGAGAAAATGCGCTCTCTGTCACTCACTGCAGTGAGTACTGAGTTATATTTTTTGTCCTTGTCTAGATGTCATCATGGTCGAGTTTGTCGCAGCGACGAGCGTATCATTGCTACGTGCAGAGAGTGCGTCACGACTTGGACAAAATGAAGTATTTATTTCTCAAACTGTATGCTATCAAGTGTTCAGTCCCTATTATTCAATTATGGTCACTGGAAACTGTAGGTTTTCGATGCCGGCAGGCCAAATAGAACTCAATGCAAGTTTTTTACCAGGCTGCAACACAGTCAGTAGGAAAAAACTAGACCCGTATATTATTTTAATAATCAATAGTCTCTTTAATTTACACTGTTCATTGGAATTTATAGTAGAACTTTCGTCTGAAGAGTAAACTTTTACATTATTTCGTTTTCGACAATAATATCTTGGATAGGTGTTATGTGCTGAAACATGATCAAATTCATCGAAAGAAAAATATTAGTATTTCCTTTAAGTACAATTAAACAAGGCATTTTAAAACGATTTGTGGTTGTATTCAATGTATAATTGTTGACGTAGTAACGTTTTCCTTGATTTTTTTGTGTATCTCTATTGGATTTAATCAGATTAGATGCAAGTTGATTTGGTTATGTTGATTGTTACTAACTCTACTTTAGCTATTGCCAACTCTAATTCTACTTCAGTGACTAAATTTAATTTACCGAATAATCATAAATAATTATGCTCATGCTACGAGGTTACAATAACTCCTTAGCATTCAATGCCCAATGCTTCAATCACGAATATTATGCTAATATTATATTCTTTATTAAAAAATGCATCGAGTAAAATGATAATATTCACATCGCACGCATCGACTCAAGTCACGAAAATATATTTTTATTTTTTGCTCTAGCTTCTAAGCTTATACGAAATAAATTCCGGATGGTGTGAATATTAAATATCAATAACATGTTTGAAACTTGTTAACAAACTGCACGTGTTTTGATTTTTTTTGGATGACTAACGGAGCTCGTATATCTGGGTTCATATCTTAATAATTTCGATTGTTCTATTTGTGCTTGAAGTGATAAGCTACGCCAAGGGAACATAAGACGATCACTTAAAAGTTACAAAAATGATATGTGGGAAGCTTCCTTGCATTAACTTTCTCTTGTCTAGAAGAGTAATAAAAAATGTCTAAACTCGCAATTACTACTGTTACAAAACTACAAGTATACCTTCAAACTATTTAATACAATTGTTTCAAGAGTCTATTTGCTTTAATGTTAACGTTCGTTCGACAATGTTTGAATCTTTTAAAATTTTGATAATTGCGTTTCGTGCGGAAAAGCACGTCACGCTGGGCTAAGCAGTTCCAAGAAAATAATTTATTCCTTATTTGAAGAATTAAACATCAAATAGTTTATAGCTTTGCCTCGATGAAAACCCAAACAATATTTTTGTAACATAATTGTCATCTGTAAATTGTTTCACACAGATTTTTATGCCACCGCACAGATTAGATTTTAATTTACAATGTCAAAGATGACAGTGATCCAGGGCAGAAAGTGAGTCATCATGACCTAGAACTTATTGACGACGTCAGTGATCCAAGGCAGGAAGTGAGTCATCCTGCTGTACACGCCAGGATACTCGCCCTTGCCACACCCGATGCCCCAGGACACAAGTCCAACCTGCGTCCACACGCCATCGATGCGCCGCACTATCGGACCTCCGCTGTCGCCCTGGCAAGTGTAGTCATAATACAGCCTTCATGTCTAGGTTTTGTACTATCAAAAATAGTGAAAATAGTTTCATAATACAGCCTTCATGTCTAGGTTCTGTACTATCGTAAATAGTAAAAATAGTTTCATAATACAGCCTTCATGTCTAGGCTCTGTACTATCAAAATAGTTTCATAATACAGCCTTCATGTCTAGGTTCTGTATATCAACAAAAAAAATAGTTTCATAATACAGCCTTCATGTCTAGGTTTTGTATCATCAAAAATAGTTTTGTAATACAGCCTCCATGTCTAGGTTCTGTACCATCAAAAATAGTTTCGTAATACAGCCTTCATGTTTAGGTGCCGTACTATCAAAAATAGTTACAAGTTCGTAACACAGTCAGCCTATCACTGACGGCAATAGGCATTAAATCAGCTCCTATGTTTCCAAAGGATGCTACATGTGCCTAAGCGAGTTTAGACTGTACGGCCTCTGCTCTATTATTATTTTCATTAATGTATTCACAAAATTTCTCGCAAAACTTTATTAAGAAATTAATAAATTTCATTTCATTTATTTTTAAATGCTATAATATATTTCTTTAATTACTGTAGCTTTTGTTGTTAGAATAATTTAATAACTTTATTGAGCATAACTCACTGAGCAGGAGTCTTTGCCGCCCCTGCCGGCACAGAGGTAGGAAGGCACGATACCGCCAGGCGCCGCGGGGCCATACTTCTGAGCACAGTTGTTGTTGTTCCAGAACTGGAGCTTCACTTCCCACAAGCTGCCTTGTTGTGGTCCACCTGTTCAGCGTAGAAAAAATCATGAGTTTTTTATGAAGAATGGGAACTTGTAATCTATTTTTTATATATAAGATGATCTTTTTCTCTCGATGTGGCTTGTTGCGGTCCACCTGCTCAGCGTAGAAAAAAATCATGAGTTTTTTATAAAGAATGGGAACTTGTAGTCTATTTTTTATATATAAGATGATCTTTTTTCTCTCAACAGTTGTGGTCCACCTGCTCAGCGTAGAAAAAATCATGAGTTATTTATAAGGCATTGTAACTAGTAGACTATTTTTTATATTATAGATGATCTTTTTCTCTCAATGTGCCTTGTTGTGGCCCACCTGCTCAGCGTAGAAAAAAATCATGAGTTATTTATGAAGAATGGGAACTTGTAGTCTATTTTTTATATATTAGATGATCTTTTTCTCTCAACGTGGCTTGTTGTGGTCCACCTGTTCAGCGTGGAAAAAATCATGAGTTATTTATAAAGAATGGGAACTTGTAGTCTAGTTTTTATATATAAGATGATCTTTTTCTCTCAACTTGGCTTGTTGCGGTCCACCTGTTCAGCGTGGAAAAAATCATGAGTTATTTATAAAGAATGGGAACTAGTATTCTATTTTTTATATATAAGATGATCTTTTTCTCTCGACGTGGCTTGTTGCGGTCCACCTGCTCAGCGTAGAAAAAATCATGAGTTATTTATAAAGAATGGGAACTTGAAGTCTATTTTTATATATAAGATGATCTTTTTCTCTCAACGTGGCTTGTTGTGGCACACCTGCTCAGCGTAGAAAAAATCATGAGTTATTTATAAAGAATGGCAACTTGTAGTCTATTTTTACCGCACTTCTCTTTAACTTCACTTCTATTTGTTAGTTTGTCTAATACAAATCTTATAATCGGTATTTAACATACTTCTACCTGTCCAATCGATCTGAAATTGTGCGCACTTGCGTAAAGTTGGAAACAATGCATGAATCAATTGACAGAATTACTAATTTTGAAAATTTAAAATTTGTTATTTATAAAAAAAGGAATTTTTTTTTATATTTGAAATTACGATTAGAAATTCATTGTACGTGTGTAACATCGGAGGCAATGGTTTCTTTAGAAGTGTTGTCTTTAAAAATGAATTTTTAAACGCATATCATTTATATTAAAGATGATCTCTTACTCTCAACGTGCCTTGTTGCGGCCCTACAGAATGTAGTAGTTTCTGCCCTAATATGTCCTGGGTATTAATGCACCTCAGCCTCCATGTAGTTCTGGGCCCATACTTTCAAAAAAAGTTAAGAGATCGTAAGTTCATCAGCCAATCATTGACGGCCACGCGAGCAAAATCCACCAATCATAGACAAGAAAATAGAGCGTAAGTACTTACGTTCACTTGGCGAATTTTGAAAGTATGGCCCCTGTGCTTTAATATATCCCAGCCCCGATACGGTGAGTGGCTGGTCAATAATCTAATTTCCCTAATATGAACATCACTGTGGGAGGTTGAAGACAAGCTGATCTTATTACCTTCCGCTTAAAGCCCAGCAATAAAGGCATTATTATTATTATTACCTTCCGCATAAAGCCCAGCAATAAAGGCATTATTATTATTATTACCTTCCGCTTAAAGCCCAGCAATAAAGGCATTATTGTTATTATTACCTTCCGCTTAAAGCCCAGCAATAAACACATTATTATTATTATTACCTTCCGCTTAAAGCCCAGCAATAAAGGCATTATTGTTATTATTACCTTCCGCTTAAAGCCCAGCAATAAAGACATTATTATTATTATTACCTTCCGCTTAAAGACCAGCAATAAAGACATTATTATTATTATTATTACCTTCCGCTTAAAGCCCAGCAATAAAGGCACTATGCCTAAAGTGTGTGAAGTTTTATCTAGAAAAAATTATGTTTACGGAGTATAAGCTGTTTCTCTGTTGATGGGTATTGTACAATGTACAACTCAACAGTTAAAAAGCATAATAAACAGGTTTTAACGAAGAAACGAAAACAATTCTGAATTTCGTCTATTGGAAAGTACTTTAAATATTTCCTACTTTAAATTTTCTATTGAAAAATAATTCAAACACAATTCTGATGCCTCTTTTCTTCTTTGCTAAAGCTTTTCTTATTATTATTATTATTATTAACTAAGCTGCACTAATGCTTCTAAATATGCTAATTAAGGGCAATGTGGCGGCCTCTCACAACTTTATTATATAGAATTATATTTATGTGATATGTCAAACTGCAGTCTGGGCGTGCAATGTGGCTACAAAATGCAACTTATATCTTGTATAGAATTCTTTTATAAAGAGGTATTCATGCGATCACAGTTTGTACAAAGTTCAGTAATAGTTCTTTGTTTTAATAAGTGCTTATAGCAAAAAATGAAAACTTTTTCAAGAATGGTACATTATTATTTCAAGAATAATTAACTCAAACAGACTTTTGTAGGATGATAAAAATACTCAGGGACTGCAGTAATTAGGGTAACAATTAACAATTAATAATTTACTAATTAATAAATACTAATTGTTAATTACTAATTAATTAGTAATTAACAATTAGACCTCGTCAAGAGGGCCCAACATGGTGATCAATCTCGTGGCTGATGAGGCCTTCAGAGGCCTCGTCTATTTTCACTCAGAAAAAGAAGTGAGACTTTGTCGAAATAGCCTCGCATATTTTGCCTTTGTATGGGTTTTTTTGCAAGCTTGGTCTGGCAAAAAGGCATATAAGTGCGACGTGCAAAAAGTGCGTCATTTAGTATATGTAAAATTGAGGCATATCATGATCCTTATTGTAATGCTTCATATCATGATGTATACTAATTAAAATTCGATGCAGGTATATTATTAATGATAAGCCAGCTGAAGTGCTAATAATGACTCTGCAATATCATTCTCATCATTTAGCATTTTCAAATAGTTGATGAGTGAATCGAACTTTGAGTAATTCAATCAAAGTATTTATTTATTTTGAATTTTTACAGTGTCCATTGCAATATTTCGTTATTTGAAGCAATAACAAAGGTATGATTTGTATTGCTTGGTCGTTTTTTATGTTATTTTAATCCTGCCGTCGTGTCGAAAAAATGTTCATGTCGTTATTGCATGTTCAACATCGTTGCAACTTGTGCCCAGTATTCGAGTAAGTAATATATTGTTGAAGAAAAATAAAAATTACATTTTTAAAAGTTCCCCTGAAATCTAATTGGTAGCGATAAGATTTTGCTGTGATTATATTCTATCTATTCATGTTCTATCTTTTCGCCAACAATAGTATTTTATCTTTATTCTGATATATTCGCTTGCAGCTGGCCGGAAATTCGTGAATTTCATCGTTATTTCCTGACGTCCGGAACCTCAAAATTTCCAGAAATTTTTTATTTCCTATTTTGCTTGCATGACGTCTTGTCGTTTACATAAAATCCTCAGAGAAATATTCGAGTAGCGAGGCCAAAAATATCTTTTTGATATTGAGCCGCGGCTGCGACGGCCAATATGGAGAACATGCACCGCATTTTGCTTGCTATGCTCGAGACGTAAATGCATTTTAGTTTTTAACTCCGCAACAATGAAATTTTTACTGGAATTTCAAAATAAATAATGTTACCTTGCAGAGCATGATGTGAAGGAAGACAAATATATACATATTTATTGCAGCAAATCGTGTTTACATGGTAAGTGAGGTTAGGGTGATGATTATAATGTAAAAAAAAAAAACTTTTTTTATCGCTAGGAAGGTAATATTAAAGATTATGACGTGCACAGACTAATTTTTAGCAATAGTAGAGGGCCATAACACATAACACGTTCGGTTGCAAATATGTTGTTTCTCATTGACAAATGTGAAAGATTTAAAATTGATGTTAAATATTTTGAATATCTACAAGAATTCTGTTTTACGGTTGTTGAGAAATATACGGACAAACCGACTAGTTTGGCTATGTCAACGTGAGGATACTTAGCAGCTCCAACAAAACTCTCGGGATATTGCACCCCAAATTTAACTTACTCTAAGTGCCTTTCACTGTCGCTATTTCGGTTCTAACGCATTCTCCGTAATAATACATAATACGACCGTTTTTACAGTGGGACAAACTTTCATTAAATTAAATAAGATATTGACAAAATTATAACTATTCTCCTGAATTATTCACCTTCTGAAATTCGAATAAAAATGGTATGTGCGATCCAATTAAATGAGAAGTGGTTTGAGCTGACTGTAATGTAGTCAAGTTTAGAAAGATTTACAATCGCCAGAAATGCCAGTCAGTCCAAAACTCACATATTTTCGACAAAATCACATTATCAGAAGAATTTAAATGGTAAACTTGCTTGAAATGTCATAGAGCAGTTCATCAAAGACCAGATGGACGTGTATTGTCGTAGCATACCATAAGATTACCCTTTGCAATATTTTTCTGACCATCAGATATTTATGAATAAGCCTTTGAAAATCATAAAATGTCAACAAAAATACGTCCTGCATGCTTGTCACCAGCATCCTATAGCTCACGGTGTCAAGTTTGTAGGGTTAGGGGTGTTAAGTTATTGTTCAAGTTAGTTTTCCTGATCAGTTAAATAAGTCTTGACTCCTCTCTTCGAGTGAGGCGAGTTTAATGCATTGTTTAGGTTAGTTCTGTAAACCAGTTAGATAAGTTTAGACTCCAACCTTCGAATGAGGCGAGTTTAATGCATGTTTAGGTTTTTTTTGTATGCCAGTTAGATTAGTTTAGACTCGAACCTTCAAGTTCGGCTAGTTTAATGCATCGTTTAGGTTAGTTTTAAAAGCCAGTTACATTAATTTAGAGTCCAACCTTCGAATTAGGCGAGTTAATGCATTGTTTAGGTTTATTTTGTATGCCAGTTTGATTAGTTTAGACTTGAACCTTCAAGTTCGGCTAGTTTAATGCATCGTTTAGGTTAGTTTTAAAAGCCAGTTAGATAAGTTTAGACTCCAAACTTCGAGTTAGGCGAGTTTAATGCATCGTTTAGGTTTATTTTATAAGCCAGTTACATTAATTTAGACTCCAACCTTCGAAAAGCGACCCCCAGCCTGCGACTGTGCCTATGCTTTCCTCGAGAGGCACAGGGTTAGAGTTGAGGCAGATGGGACGCACGAACTGCGTGATCTCGGCAGGCTGATCCAGCGTGATCACCGCAACGTCGTTCATCTGAAAAAAAAATATAACTCAGTACTCACTGCAGTGAGTGACAGAGAGCGCATTTTCTCGTCGACGAAAACTTGAGGTCACGGACAGACGGACAGACAGACAGACAGACAGACAGACAGATAGACAGACAGACTGACAGACAGACAGACGGACATGGCGAGCACAATAGTACATTTTTTCCATAAATGAGAAAATACGCTAAATGACAAATGGGCAAATATCTTCTGCACTCGCTCTGGAAATGTGGATTAGTGTGGAATATCTGTTTCTGTTAAAAAATTGTGATAATTTTGATGATTTTGTGATAAAACTTAGCCGATTTGTAGAGATTATATTATAACAATTCGTCTAATCGGACAGCGGAAAATGTCGTACGTCTGTTAATCTTAATAGAACTTGAAACTTACGTTTAATTGTTTACAAGATTGATCCCATTCGAGATATCAACAAATTTCAACGACACCGTCACTCATGTGAAAACAGGGCACATTTCTGGTAACAGTGACAGTTCGAATATCGAAATGATAAGATGAAACTTATGTGCTCGATATGGAAAAGAAGATTAGATCAAGATTGCAAATTTATTTGGAAGCAAGTCCAAAATGCATATATAAATAAATGCAATCATATATACATAAATATATATGATTGCATACATATATATGACACATATATAATGCGAATAAGGCTATAGCTGCAACGAAAATGTATGCCCAAAAGGGGATAATATATATCCCGTTCATTAAAATGCAGTGCTGAAATATTAAAAAACTAACTACAATGCAAGTTCCTCAGGCCTCAAGATAGATTTTGATTCAAATATTTGCTTTGATTGTCGGCATAGGCGTATTGAACACATAGAAGCCGTTTGATTTGCTCGTTGAATGTCAGCCTTTCATATAAAGAGATCATCACTCTCGAAATGCATTCACCTTTCAATAATTCTGTCATTTTTAAGAATTGGAATTTATGCAGTTTTACAGGGATCTGAACATACGTCAGACATGATGCCTCTCCCTGGTACGTTATGGGTGAACAGCGCTGAAAAAACATCATGAAAGCTAATAATCTTTACGCTGGAATTTTTGTTCTCATTTTGTCACCGAGTGCAAACAGAGGGTATCAGCTTGTGTGTGCTTCCATACGTGACCGATTTTAATAAAAAATTCAAATTTCCATTGTTTGTTTTGTCACCTCAATTTCCCCATTGTATTTACTTCTAAACAAAGACCCAATTTTAGTAAAAAAATCAAATTTTCATTGGGTGTTTTGTCACCTCAATTTCCCAATTGTACTTATTTCCAAACAAAGGCGCATTCTTAGCATGGTCGAATTTATCTGAGCTATTGGCGATTTTTGTGGACCTTGCATTAGTAGAAGATTGAATGGTAACTGAACTAAAATTTTTGTACCTTCTTGTGTCTGCAGTTGCAGTTCGGTCATTTTACCAAAGATCACTTGAGGTTTATTAGTAATTTTTACGAATTTGATATTATTACTAACTTACAATAGAATAAACTGCAAGTTCATCAACCGAATTGTTCTTCGACAGAAGCTGGTGAGCAATACCGTTGGGCTGCTGCAAATCTGTAAAGTTGAAACAACTCGATCTTGCCGAGCTGTCCCGCATGTCGAAAAAATGCGTTCCCGGAAACTTTTGCAGACTGTGTGATACGCTTGGCTATTTTCCTGCTGATTTAGTGCCAACGTTTTTCACTTTATGGTCGAATTTCAGAAAAAGGTTAAAGAAAGCACTGCTGTGATAAACGATAATAATCGTATTTAAATTTCGTGTTCAAGCAGAGAAAATTCTTAAGTAACTTCATAAATATTTATTTTTTCTAAGACAAGTTCCATCTTGACGTTAAAAAATTTATATTCTGAATGCTCTTCGCCATAAAATCTTTTGAATATAATCCAAGTTTCACGACGAGAGAAAAATGAAGCGTGTTGCATATTAGCGTTCAATTAACTGAGTATTTTTTTATTCAGAATTGCATGGATTAATTTCTATTAACAATGCAGGACAACGTGCTGATTTCACCTTACATATGTTATCGTGCATAAGTCTCCACAAGTAACTACTTCCATTTAGTTTGCAAATGATACAAATATCATCGAAATAGTGAGTGAGAAGCCATCAATGTCATCAATTACATTATATCACTACTCTTATTTCATATCACAATAATTAAATCGCTCTAATTATATCGTTACTCCATTCATATCCTCACCAGCCTGACAGGATCGTAGTTTCTGTGCCGCACGACCTTCTTGGCACTGAAACTTTGAGACGAGCTTTCGCGCTGAAAAATGTTGTGCGCTCCCAGCACGATACGCAGCCGGGACAGCTCTGCTTGTCCCAGCCTGTGGACAAATGCATTGTAATGTTGTGACAGCTCTGCTTGTCCCAGCCTGTGGACAAATGCATTGTAATATTGTGGGCTCCCAGCACGATATGCAGCCGGGACAACTCTGCTTGGCCCAGCCTGTAGACAAAGGCATTGTCAAGAAGATGTTAAAGAAATTTTTTTACTTCTATTCAAATATCACTACAAAAGAGTCCCAAAGTAGCGGACCAGACTGCTGCTCATGTAAGGTGAAACAATAATATGAGCAACGATAAAAACAATCTGATAAACTAATTAGACTTAAAAATTATTTTGTTTTTAGTGATCAGTTCTCATAAAATATTGCTAAACATGATGAATCGAAACTTTAAGCTTAAGTTTTTGGATGGGAGATTCATTTTCATTTATTTCATGACACGTAGCAACTAACGTATTTTCTTGCATCATATTATTTATTGCACTCATATCCGTGCTTTTCAGCTTTGAAGTTCAAAATAAATTGGCATTCTCAGTTTATGCGTCGTTGTGCCATCAATATCCGGAAAAACATGTCGGATTCGTATTGATTGTTTTCCGAATTATGAAGCTTCGAGCCGTGCAAAATATTTATTACGCATTTCTATTCTAAATTATTTCAGAATTTCAGTTGCTGTTGATGAGCGTAAATCTTCACTGGCCCGTCGATCAAAGATTTGCTGCAGGACGCTTGCGATGCTTCTTGAATTGGCCCAGTTTGTACCCAAGGGCTTTGATCCGACATCTCCTTCAGCTCACACTTTGACTCCAGGGTCTTGCAATACTCTGCGGGTCTCTAAATATAGCCATTCTTTACAGGTAGCTCAATAATTCAAAGCACCAGGGGCCATACTTTCAAAACTCGCTGAGTGAACGTAAGTACTTACGCTCTATTTTCTTGTCCATGATTGGTAGATTTTGCTTGAAAGGCCGTCAATGATTGGTTCATGGACATACGATCTCCTAACTTTTTTTGAAAGTATAGGCCCGGGTCTCTAAATATAGCCATTCTTAACAAAGAGCTCAATAATTCAATGCTCCAGAACGTCTTTTTCAGCAACATTTTTCTACAGAACTGCACGGTACCTGATATACGATTCTTAGATACCTGATCCATCGGGCCTTAGTCGTGATACTGCAATTAATAATTACGGGATTCCTATGGGATACCTTGTTCATTCGGCTTTGCCTGAGGAAATTCGTCATTTGTGTTCAAAGAAGTTATCGTAATTGTTCTTTGTAAGGACACGGCTACCATGTGCGCTAAAAACGACCCGTTTTGCTGAAGAGCTAATAAGAAGATTTTATTTGAACGTTGAAAAATGAGCGCGCACTTTCCTTTACTTTCGCAATTGTCAGAAATTTTCAATTATACTGAACACTTTATAGAGCCTAAAAGTGTATATTCTTTTGAGGCTTTTATAGTTAAAAGTTTGTTGGCGACTATGTTTTCTAACGATTTTTAAAAATAGACCTAAATCCCGATATTCAATTAAAAAGTAGACATAAGCCAAAATTTAATTATGTATTTTACATTATTATGTCTAGGGAACTTATTGATAATATTAAATTAAGGAAATTCACGGATGCATACTTACGTAGCAACGCAGTGGGCGGCCGTGAGCACGTGTGTAGAGTCTATCAGTGAGCCTCCGCAGAACTGCTTGGGACCGTTGAATAGAACTGCCTGCACGTTAACAGAGTGAAGAAAAAGTAAATTTAATGAGGAATATTGCCGGCAGCCATTAAATGTGTTGATAAGATTATTTTTGGGGCCGTTGAATAGAACTGCCTGCACGTTAACAGAGTGAAGAAAAAGTAAATTTAATGAGGAATATTGCCGGCAGGCATTTAAATGTGTTGATAAGATTATATACAAGACTGGATTTCGCTAACAAATATAATATACAAAGAAGACTTCAATGGTGACTTTAAGCTCACTATGAAAGATTAGCTATACTGACTGACGCCATGTACACTGTTAGAAAAATTACCGTTAACTGTATTACCGGCGTTTCAGTGGCCGGTCGGCACGTGAAAAGAAACACCGTGTCGCCGTTTTTTTATTCTAATTTAACACTAGAAATCCGAAAAACATCTGATAAAAACGGCGAAACAGTTTATTTTCACGGGGCGACCGGCCACTAGAATGCCAGTGGGACCGTTTTTTCACCGTTTTTTCACCGTTTTTTCTAACAGTGTAGCACAGTACTCAATCTCCCGCCTCACCAGCCAAGGGTACGCGTGGGGAGCAGCGGGCTTTCCCCCCACAACTCTACCGTCCTCGTTAGCATTAGGAACTTGTTGGCCTTGTTCGGGCGACTTCTGCACCAACGGGACTCTGTTCTGCTCATTGGCGCGATCATAGTACGTGTTGCTTGGGTAAATCGTCTTGGGATCACTGACGTCGTAGGTCATTCTTCTCCCAATACCGTACGTATATGGTAATTTGGAATCGCTGTTCCCGATCCTGATATTTCTGTAACTCGGCGACATGTATTCACTTCCGTGATGCTTAATCCTGTTTATACCCAAGTGAGCGTTTATCCTGTCTCGATCGATGACATCTTCATGCACTCCATCTTCAGCAATGCTATTGAAGTCATGTGCCCTGAAACTGCCTGGAGAATAGCTGGCACTGCAGGCGGACTGGAAGGTGCCTGGGTCGCTGGTCTGGGGTGGCGTTGTTGAGGGCGACGGGGAAGTGGTCGCTGGAAAACAAATAATCATTCAGTGAGAATTTTAGTTGGTCATAACCGGTGTGATTCGCGTACAATTTGGTAGTATATTAGTTTAATTAAAACTGTTTGATCTCAAAACTGTAGGACATTTACGAAGCACACCAGGAATTATAAAAGTTTTATGTTTGAATATAGTTCGATGTTTAATAATGTGTTTAATTAGTTGTTTTTAACTGTGTAGGCAAGTTTTAAAGTCACTTTAAGATAAAATATCGCGTTTTTCAATGGAAAACTTATAAATTTATGAATAATTAAGGAGTTTCAAGCTTTACTCGTGGTTGGAGCGGCAGGAATTGGAGGCTCTGGTGTCCACCACTGGAATGGACCCGCGGGCTGGTGTTGCGGCAACCACCAAGACGAGGTAGTTGGGGGTGTAACCACTGGGGTTTGTTGAGGCCACCAAGGGTTAACAAAAGGTGGCGGGGTGCTTGGTGGTGTCCACCAAGGACTGGTTGTTGTTGGTGTATCAGGAGTTGGCTGAGGCCACGACGGTTCCGTTGTACGCTGAGGAGGAAGGGTTGTTGTCACCCACCAAGGTTTGTTAGTGTGGCTAGGAGGGTGAGTAGGGATAGGCGGAGGCCAGTCACGCAGGTTTTCCCAGCTTCCCCTGAAGTGTACGGAGGATTTCTTGTCACTGCCTTCAGAAGCCACTGGATGGGACGACCTGCTGTCGTCGAAGAGACCTGACTGAAAGAGATTGCCGTCGAGTCGCTCGTCATACGCGGGACGACTCATCACGTGACTGCGGTCCAAAACGCCGTCGTGATCCTCAGCTGCGTATAAAATAACCTCAGGTACTGACAAACCAGGAGTGTACCCAGCCGAAATTGGGGTTTGTCCCTCGTGATTGGGGCCACGTCTGGCAGCGCCCCAATAATTAAAGTCCGATTCACTTGGTCCAGCGTACATGTCGTCATAATTAATTCCATTTGAATTAATGTCTTTATAGCGATTTGCTGAAGACGAGTTCAGTGACCGAGGATCAGCGGGGAGGCAGCAATCTCTGAGGTACTGTTCAGAGAGATATAGAATAACTTTAGTTTATACAAGCTGAAAATCAACAATTTATTGTTATTTACTGTGCACGTGTTCCATGGATGGAAAACCTTAGATATTTTAATTTGAATTTGTAGATATTTGAACACCTCATGGCTGAAAAATCATGTAAACTTTGCACGAATTCAAATAAAATTTTCCGTAGACCAGTACATTCATGCATCAAATTTGAAAAATATATCATATTATTCCACAATTGAATGAATGAACTTCATAATAATTCTGTATTCTTTGAAGAGTATATCTGTTTTGAAACAAGTTTTATAGCTAAATCATTTAAAAAATTTCTCACCAAGTTGTCATCATAGACGTAAGCGCATCCAGTAGGCATATACTTAGGCAGGGGAGCCGTGAAGTCGTGAAGCGTGGAGATCGAACCTGGAGTAGGTGCCACGTGATACCCGCTTGCTGGGCCCACAGAAACTCCAGGGTTAGGGTACGAGTTAAGAACTTTCAGGGGATCAATCATATTGCTCGACGACCGTCCATGGATGGCGTCATTGGAAACTCTGAAGGAACTAGGGAATTTGCCCGAGTTTGAGGGGAAATTCGAAGCTTGTGAAGGAACTATCGAGTTTCTGGATGACCAGCCAGGGGCAGCGTCATTAGAAACTCTGAAGGAACTACCGAATTTGCCCGAGTTTGAGTAGAAATTCGAAGCTTGTGAAGGAACTATCGAGTTTCTGGATGACCGGTCAAGGGGACTGTGAGCAACTCGATATGCGAACTTATGAGGATCAGAGCCTGTGGACATGCGGGTTGAGCCCTGTGCGACGGAACCTTTGATGAATTCTGGTGCAGCGGCTGGGCATTCCATGGAGTAGCTGCATTCACCAATGGTTCTGTAAAATTTTTGAATGTGTTTGTTAATGAAATATTTATATCAAATTCTCATATGAATGAAAAATTTAAGGGTTCAATTTTTAATTGGTGTAGGAAATTTTGCAGAACTAATTTACAGTGAACCTCGTGGGATTGAAAACTCTTCTAATAATTTCAATATTCAAAGTTTTTTTTCCTTCCGGTGTCGTATTAGTTTATATTCAATTTACTACCGAGTCCTCCGCTATTTTATTACCTTGGCTTTAAACAACAGTTGCCTTATTTTGGTTCCTGTTATGAAAACTTTTAATTGAAGCTGTTAGTTGATGTTACATTCTCTGAAATTATTGAAAGCTTGATATCAGTTATCGACAGGGTGATATTGAGGTCTGAATTTTTGAATGACCGTTCGTTTCATTGCCCAACAAATATCAAAGTGGTTAGGACATTAGTTCCCTAATTCAAGCGCGGTTATTTTTTGCACAGTAAATAAATTATTTAGGACATTAAGTCCGTGATTTAAGTGCAGCATTTTCCACACAATAAATATTTGACTGATTAAGACTTTCAGTCTGCGATTCAAGCGCCGAATTTTCCATTTAATAAATATTTGAATGATTAGGAAATTAATTCGGTGATTCAAGCGCCAAAAATTTTCTCGCAATATATATCTGATGGAAAAAGATATTAAATCCACGATTTAAACGTCGCATTTTCCACATAATACATGTTTGAATGACTAGGACATTCAATCCGTGATTCAAGCGCCGAATTTTCCAGTTAATAAATATTTGAATGATTAGGACATTCAGTCCGTGATTCAAGCGCCGAATTTTCCAGTTAATAATGAATGATTAGGACATTCAGTCCGTGATTCAAGCGCCGAATTTTCCAGTTAATAAATATTTGAATGATTAGGACATTCATTCCGTGATTCAAGCGCCGTGTTTTTCATGGAAAGTCAAGCGGCGACCCTCGGCAATTTAGGTGCTGAGATTCCATAGACGACGAGAACTTCATCTGATTAATGGCGGCTCGTATGGATGATGTATAAGCGGCCACCTCCGCCACAAACATAGACGAAATTAAGTTGTTATTACACCTCGACGCACGCAGAGGATGTTTGTTAACTTCATAGGCCTGGATAGGCGTTTTGTTAGATAATTTGTTCATTGTTCTTCTTTGGTGAATTTATATAGAACTTTTACATAGAAACGCTATCGAAGGAATTTGTTTTGGAATATGATTTGTATAATGACATTGTATTCTTTACCAAATGAATATAACATCATAGTTCAGTTCTGCTCAGCTATTCAACAAAGCATCCTAAATTATTTTGGCATGGTTAACGTTAGGTTTCTATTTATAATTATATTCAAAAGATCAGCTACGAAAAATTTGCTATGCGAACGAAAATATTTTTCTTCGATAAAAAGACAAGCGTTGCTTTCATCGATTATGTTAAATGCAGGGGCTTGAATTTTTGAGATTACGCTCGGTTAGTTTTGCTTCTTATATTTTAGCAGCCAATATACCTAAAATTATTTTTAAATTTTACATGATTCAGGAAACGAAACAGTTGTGCGATATGCATAAACTAGATTTTCATTGGCTATTTCTTCAAACCTCCACAAATCGCCCCATTATATGACCACACACATCTAATTATACGAGTAGCGAATAGTTCACCTGGAGCTTGTAATACAATAGTAGTTTAAGCTGCTCGTCGCAGTACCTCAACGTTATTATTGACATAGTCAATAAATAACCACAAATTGTGATATTAAATGACCATAAACCTCTCATTCAGTAGTTTAAGCTGCTGGTCACATTTTGATAAGGACCTCAACATGGTCTATAAATAACCACAAATCTCCCATAATATGAGGACAATATTTTCTGTACAAGAGCAGAGAATCTCTCACCTGAAATTCGTATTCCAGCAATAATTGAAGCTGCTCGTCGCAATACCTTAACATTATCATACATTATCATTTACATGGTCTACACATAACCACAAATCTCCCTATATATGACCACAACATTATGAGCAGAGAATCTCTCACCTGAAGTTCGTATTCCAGCAATAGTTGAAGCTGCTCGTCGAAATACCTCAACATTATCATACGTTATCATTGGCGTGGTCTACAGATAACCACAAATCTCCCGATATATGACGACAATATTACGAGCTGAGAATCACTTACCTGAAGTTCGTGTTCCAGCAATAGTTGAAGCTGCTCGTCGTAGTACCTCAACTTTATCATTGGCATGATCAACAAATAACCACAAATCTCCCTATATATGACCACAATATTATGAGCAGAGAATTTCTCACCTGAAGTTCGTGTTCCAGCAATAGTTTAAACTGCTCGTCGTCGTACCTCAATATTATCATTGGCGTGGTCTATAAATAACCACAAATCTCCCTATATAAATGACCACAATATTATAAGTAGAGAATCTCTCACCTAAAGTTCGTATTCCAGCAATAGTTGAAGCGGTTGGTGGCAGGACCAGCTTGCAGCAGAGCTCTGTACTTAGGATCCTGCAGAGCCTGCGGGTGTAGCTGTGTGGGCGAGCCCCGCAGGTGGGGCGAGGGCTCAGTGTGCAGCACCTGCAGCAGCGAGTGGTGGGGCGCCCACCGCAGACTTGAGAGCTTCTGGAGTGTGCTCAGGTGGTGGTGGCGGGAGGGAGACGCAGGTGAAGTGTGCTCAGTGTTGCGGAAGTCTTCTGTTGACAAAAGATTCTTGTCAGTGACAAGCCACAATGAAGTATTGGTTCGGCCTCTCCAGGCGACCGAGTCCGTGTTCCAGTCTCTGTCTCGAATGCGAATGCGTTGTATTCAAGGCTTTTATGATAAATATTCAAATTGTTGTACAGTTTGTTAGTTAAAATTCTAATAATTAAGTTAATATCATATTTGCATGTGCTTAAATTACAGGGGAAGGTTCAATGCTGGTAAAAATGCGTCAATGCTTTTCAATTTCTATTCAAAATCAAGCGATGGATGACCGGTCACGTATTGCAAGCGTATACTCTATATGTTAATTATGTTGATAACAGCTATAAAATTTATTTATATTATTCACTTTCAGTTATACAAATGATTTTAAGTCGTACACGCTTCGTTAATTTTAATCGAAAACATGAAAAGCTGCATATTTTTATTCATTAGCAATCCATATGTTGGCGTTGCGTTGCAAACAAAGATATTCTCATACCAGATATTTGTTTTATCGTGTGCAGGAAGGCCAGTGTTGGAATTTATTTACATGTAAATTGAAATTTTTTATTGTTGAGGATTACACTTATATATACAGAAAGGACATATATATATATGTAATCTCTATGTATTTAATATATGTAATTTCCGGTTTGACGCCAACAACACATTCACTTTACGTGTTGCGCATGTAATTTCACTTGATTAACATTGAAACATATTCACTTGAATAACATTTTGCGATGTATGTAATTGGCGGCGAAGACACGATATATAAAACTGTCTAGCTGCAGAAGGTTATCATTACTAAGATGAATTTCTTATTCACTGGCCTAAGTTTGGGCTCTTTCATGAGTGGTCTCATGTTTGTAGAAGGAGAAAGCATCCTCCTTGTTGCCGACCTGCAAGAACCTGTTATGTACGTGGGTTGAACCTCAATAAACCTGCGCAATTCCGTTTCTTATTAAAAAAGTTACGAGAGCGATGACCTCTGCCTCATTGCCTTCCATTCATCTTCTCATTCATTAAATGAATGATCACGGTGATACACAAAACCAGGATAGAGAGTCGGACTCATTTAACCTATTGGTGTCGAGGAATTTGCAATCATGTGTTTCAGTGTGTCATACTTCTATGGTTTACTCGAACTTTTAAGTGGGATTTTTCTATGATTGATATTATATCAGGACAAACTTCCTCGGTCCTCAATAGTAATTCAGTCCCCGCTTCATAGTCGTTATTTGTACTTACATTGATCTTAAGAAAAGCGGTGATGCTTTCTCCGCTTAATAAAAATCAGAAGTTGGTCAGCGCAATTTATATTTATTTAGTTATAGGGAAGATTTAAATTTTAGTCTCTAATATTTTAGCATAGATTAGATATGAGAAAAAGGTTATCCTATTTATATTGGTAATTTTATGCACCGAGAAGTTCAAATAATTGCATAAATAATGACTGTTGATGCTGATCAATAATTAGACTCTTATGCTAAACCCTGCCGTCCTGGCATATAATGTTGAAATAACGTTTAAACCTAATTTAAACGTTTAGAAATTAAATTATCGGATGTCTGGCGGGAAAGATTATTTTATAATAGTGTTGTGTGATACTGTGATCCATCAGACTTATACCAGCATCTAATCGACTAACCTTCACAGCATCTCTTTACAAATAGCAACTTATACCAGCTCATTCTAATATTCACTTCAATGCTCTCATTAGATTGAATATTATCAAAAAAATTTTTAACCTTCCAGTTCCAGCAGAATTATTTATTTCTTATTTCCATAATAATTTCTCCCAATATAAAATATTAAATATTGTATCATTTACTATCACTATTTTGAGAAAATTATAGCCCAATTTCAACAGAAGTTCCAGCAGAATTAATTATTTCTTATTTCCATAATAATTTCTCCCAATATAAAATATTAAATATTGTATCATTTACTATCATTATTTTGAGAAAATTACAGCTCAATTTCAAGTGAAGAATATAATATATCTATATTATATTCTTCACAATATATTCTGAGATATATTGTGTATAATTATATATATTATATACAATATATCTCAATTTCGACCCTGCGAAACTGCCAGCGTCGTCTGGTGCCCGCGTGTCTGCCGTGGACACAACCCAACAAAAAGTGTGCGCTAAAAAAGCGCCCGCCCTGACCGGCGGAACAGTTCTTACTGAATGTCGATGAACTGCGGTTATTGTGTCCTTAAAAAAGCAAGGCCCTCAGAGAAAATACCTGCATCGGCCTGGAACGTCGACCTGTTACGCTTAAGTGGTTTCTTTTTTTTATGCAGTGCCCTACGAATGCTCACTGAATATTGAAAAATGTATGGGCCAGATAGTTCAAATAGTATCACATTTTCCGCACGTTTTTTTTTTGCCGGGTCAAACTGTGGTGACCCAAAAAATGGCAAAAAGTACATCACGATTTGGAAAAAATCTCACTCATTTTCTGAATGCATGCGGCAACCTACATATGCATTTAGAAGAAGAGGTGCATTCATGCACTTTATTCTTCCACTTTATTCTTCCACTTTATTCATCCACTTAATTATTCCACTTAATTCTTACACTTTATTCTTCCACTTTGTTCTTCCACTTTATTCTTCCACTTTATTCTTCCACTTTATTCTTCCACTTTATTCTTCTACTTTAATCTTCCACTTTTTTCTTCCACTTAATTCTTCCACTTTATTCTTCCACTTTTTTCTTCCTCTTTTGTCTTCCACTTTGTTCTTCCACTTAATTCTTCCACTTTATTCATACACTTTATACTTCCACTTTATTCTTACACTTTATTCTTTCACTTTATACTTCCACTTTATTCTTACACTTTATTCTTATACTTTACTCCTACGCTTTATTCTAGCACATTACCTACAGGCATTTCGATCGCCGCCTGTGCTACGGGTGTCTATATGCCTGGGCCCATACTTTCAAAAAAAGTTAAGAGATCGTAAGTTCATCAGCCAATCATTGACGGCCTTTCAAAAGTTAAGAGATCGTAAGTTCATCAGCCAATCATTGACGGCCTTTCAAGCAAAATCCACCAATCATAGACAAGAAAATAGAGCGTAAGTACTTACGTTCACTTAGCGAGTTTTTAAAGTATGGCCCCTGGTAACGAGCGATACCGTTCACAACTTTATAGACAAGAGGTGCTGAATCGGATGAGGTCTAGTATATGTGGATGAGTAATAAAGTCTATTTTCAGGCCTATGCACTTATGCGTAATTTTTTTCTTCTAAAAATAAAGATAAATAAATCAAAATAAAAAACTTAATGTTCTCATTCTGTACTCATAGTCGTTTTTGAACGAATGACGTACGTACTATGACTCACAATTAATTTATTTAGAATTTTTATCTTCCTAAATTTTATGGATTTACCCTAAATTTTCTTTTAAGTTATATTTGCTGCATCATGTCATTTGTAGGGGGAGATAAGATGCACTTATGCGTACATAGGCCTGATAAAAATACAGAAATGATAATAATAAAAGATATTTATTATAATATTTTCTGTTAAAGATACAGAAATTATAATTAATAAATAATAAAAAAAGATACAGAAATTAAAATTTAAAAACAAATAATCTCACTGTGTACTCATATTCGTTTTCAACGGATGGCGTACGATGATTCACATATGATTTATTTAGAAGTTTTTCCCTTTTAGATCTTATTGAAATAACCTAAATTTTCTTTTAAGTTATAGTTGCTTCATCATATCATTTGTAGGGGGAGACATGACTAGCCACTAAACCGTAACGGAATAACTGAACTTGGAGATCGTCGTGTTGGAGCATCATTATGTTCTTCAAACGAACAATTAGTTGCTTAGTCCACATTTTCTGCCGAGCCAGTGCGTGCATGGAATGCTGCTGACTTTCAAATCCACTAAATAGTGCGATTTTGTATGGAACGAGTTTTTTGTTTCAGTTATTAAACTTTATGATTAAACTTCAGTGACCATTGTTATGAGATTGAGTTGCTTGATTGATTTTTTTCGTGATAGTCTCATTGCAATGTGTAATGATACATTGCATTATACAATGTATGTATAATTACACATTGTATTTACAATGTAATTATACATTGTAAATCTATCTCTTTCGAGCTTGAAGTGTCTCGATGGCAAACAGTAAATTTATAAATGATATACAGTTACTGTAGTTTGAAATAATTACATTGATTATTAAAGTGGAAATTCGCATGCATTTTTACATAGATACAGAAATGAAAAAATGGTTTGTTCGTTTAATTTTGAAAAATAATTTTGAGGATGTCATTGAAAGCTCGAATGGTTTTACTTCTTATCCTACTTTCATTATAAAATCGCATTCAAATTTTTACTTTCATGCTTGAACTGGTGATGAAATATCCCGGTTTAAGACTAGCATAATTTATTTTGACCTCGTCAGACATAGATGAGCAAGAGCCTAACTTCGAACAAAGTATGCTAACAATAGCTATCATAGATACGGTCCTGGGGCCATACTTTCAAAACTCGCTAAGTGAACGTAAGTACTTACGCTCTATTTTCTTGTCTATGATTGGTGGATTTGGCTTGAAAGGCCGTCAATGATTGGCTGATGAACTTACGATCTCTTAACTTTTTTTGGAAGTATAGGCTCTGATCATAACCTTTAGTAAATATTTTATAGGGTGCAGTCCTGAGATTATTTTATAGGGTGTGTCTTCTTATTTTGTATAGGGTGTCTTCTCATTACTAGCATCGGATGAGTGTGGCTTTTAATTATTAAATTTCACCTCTTAACATCCAATTTTAATTTGTTATTTAAAATTGGTTAAATTAACACTTGAGATAACTTTATACAAGTTACATTCATATTTAATGTTAAATACATCACTTTATTATAGAGTTCGCCTTTCCCGCTGTCGCCTCCATCGGATAGCTTGCACGCTGGTTGAATAATCAAATAGGTTACTCAAAATTAATGAATTCACTAGACACGCAAATGC